TGACCTCACTCACCGAAACCAGGCAGGGAGGCTCTTGCTCTAGCTGTTCTACAGCCAGAGGTCTGAGGTCCGTTTCTAATTGTTGAAGTAATTGGTTTGTAACAAAATTGTGGGATTCAACGCCAACTGCCTGTGCTTCTGCACCCTTAGCTTGCTGCAAAGCTTCCAGTTCCTGCCGAGCAGCGTTAAACCAAGCGCCCGCGGCCGCCAGCGCCTCCGTGAGGAGCCCAATGAAGGCCCCCTTCCCATCCTCTGCTTTGCACTTGTGACCGTCCTGCCACTTCTGGAACTCTGCTCGCAGCATTTCCCAGCTCGACCAGTTCTCAGACACCCAATCCCTGTCCCACCGAGGGGTTTTCCACCCCTTCGCCTCTTGCCATTTCCTCTGCTCTTCTACTGCCTTCTCCCAAGCATCCATGACCTCTCTATCACAGAACTCCACCTCTGACACCAAATAATGCCACGATCAAGAAGGGCTGCCCAGCCTGCAGGTGTGCAAAGATCACAGCTGCGGGTTTGCAGGACTCCCTCACGCACAAGGACACTGAGGATTTATTACCAACGTTTCTTTACTTCATTACCGTTTACTACTCTCACAGCAAGTATAGTTATGATTGGGAAATACCTATAGCAGTAGTATAGATACACTACAATTTATATGTTTCTTTACTTCATTACCATTTACTACTCTCACAGCAAGTATAGTTACAATTGGGAAATACCTAGAGTAGTCGTATAGATACACTACAATTTACTACAAATTACTACCAGAAAGCAAATATATATTTCCACAACAGCAGCAATTAATATGAGTAGCAAGTCTTCATCTCAATATTACAAGTTACTGTATAATTATCACTAGTAAAGCAGCAAATATACTTACCAGTAAATTGCTTATACGCATGTACATATATTAAAAAAATATTACCGGTAGCAAGTGCTCATCAAACCGATCTCAGCAGTGGGGCCAGTCAAATCCGTCCCAGAAATGAGGCCACTCGACAGCAGATGAAGTCTCACTTGGGTGGTGGAGTCAGCCTGGGGTCCCCAGCGAGGGTCTGCTCTGCCCGGGAAATGTTGTAGGGCGAAGGGGTTTGTGTGCAGGAAAGAGGGTCCATTTCAACTAAAAAGTGAGCCCTTTTTATATCAGAGGGACATAAAGGGGTGTAGGATACCACCACCTGGGGCAGCCAATAGATGCTGCCAATTTCTGTTTTTCACCTGGCACAGCCAATAACCCGTGATGTTTCCTATTCTCTCAGACTCATTTTTGTGTTTCCCGACTGTTTTGCTGTTCTGCCACTTGGACCAGGCAATGGCTGTTCCCAATGCTTACTTTCTCAGGATGTTTTCCCCCTTATCCAGACTTCTTTTCCCCACCTTTTCAGGTGATAACGTGCTGTTACAGTTCCTTGTTTTTGCACTTATCAATGTTATCTAGGGCTGTGCCTTGTTTCTCTGTACCCAGCTGCACTTCAAAGATGCCAGCTGCACTCCCCAAGGATGCTTGCAGTTCCCAGGCCCGGTTCCCAGGCTGGCAGGCAGCTTCTCTGTCAGTATTTGAGCAGAGTGTGCAGGATTTTCCCTTAGAACCAGGTCTTTCCCCCTTATAACCACGTCTTTCCCTCTTACAACCTTTATGGCCGCTTCCATCATCAGCCTGAAATGATACCTTTCAGCAAAGCAGAAGTGATCAGCTGCAGGAAAGCTGCAGAATTTCCCCATCTAAATAGCCACGTTTGTGAAAGTACCTTTTGTATAGCTACTATTAGTTGTTCAGAAACAGATCAAAAGTAACTACACGAGCTCAGCTTCTCCTCCTGCACCACCTATTTGGCCTCGACACAACATAGAATCATAGAATCATTCAGGTTGGAAGAGACCCTTGGGATCATGGAGTCCAACCATCTACCCTACTCTACAAAGTCCTCCCCTACACCATGTCCCTCAGTACCGCATCTAAATGTCCCTTAAACACATCCAGGGATGGTGACTCAACCACCTCCCTGGGCAGCCTACATCTGACGTACCACTACGCCTCTGCTCAGGGGACCATGCTGTAAGCAAGAACTTCACAGTGACAGCCTTGCTTGGGCTTCCTCTTCTTCTCCGTCCTGGCCAGCCTCTACCTACAGCCCTGCATTTTCCCAGCCTGACTGTGGACAGCATCAACTTAGGAGAATAAGTCCAGAGGAGGACAGGAGTCACGCAGAAACAGAGAACTCAGACTGAGAACAAAGCCAACCAGACACGCAGGCAGGGTCACGGGTCCCAGCCTGCAAACACCTGCCAAAAGGGTTTGAGGAAAACCTGAAGCTGCAGCAGGCACCAGGCTGAGTTTTAATTTGCTGCAGTGCTCAAACATGAAGCTGTCCTTTTCACTGTTGTACAGACTGACCAAGAACCAACAGAGCCATTACAAACAAACAAACTGAACATCCAGCCTGTCTCACACGCGGTCCAGTTACAAGTCTCCCAAAACAGAACATCTCCCTGAGTCAGTGACCTCCAAAACGCAGCTCTGGAAACAAACTTCCCCTGGGTGTTTTGCATTCCTTCAGTCCTGTTCCCTCAATGCAATGTTTGTGTCACTTGCTAAAAAAATCCACAGCAACAGGCTTTCCAAATAAATTCAAAGGGAAGTGATTCAGTTATTTTTCTGGGATTACGTCTTAAATAAATTTTCATGGAATAGGCTATGGAAACTTCATTATGACCTGTCAATTATCAATTAATAAAGGAATGCTGATACCGTGACAAAACAAATCATATTTTTAAGGACAAAAATGTTAACTGGGCTGCTTTTAATTCAGTACTGGGTTTATCAAGATTTTTGCAAGCATTTTAAGTCCGAGTCAAGCACTGCACTTACGTAGGGTTATACCGACTGAAGTACCCAGGCAGAGCTCTCTTGAGGCAGCACTCCTTGTGCCAGACAGAGATTGCCACAGCCTGGCTGAGACACAGTGAACTTTACACACAAGTATCAAAAGCTACACAACAATTCCCAAGAGGTTCCTGCTCGTGCTGGTCTCTCATGCAGTCCCCACTCACAGAGATCAGCACATCAGGCCTCCTGCAAGCACTGACAGCCTTATTTCACCATGAAAAAGTGCAAATTCTTTTCATTATGTTATAAAACCATACTCCAGAGTGGATTACTGATCACAATTTCACATAAACACTCTACTTGCCCGATAATAAAAATCATGTGATAGCCCAGAAATTTAAACATAGCCTTATGCCTCTACCCCAGCCTCAATCAGAGCAGAGAGTGAGCTGCGAGACTTTGAGATGCGTGTTTTATGATGCAAATGAGTTTTGTAAATTGTGACCTAGTTCCCATGTAAGGAACAGTTGGGACCAACAGCAGGAACTATGCAATGAATGTGAGCAGTGGGGGCAAGCACGGAAATTAACATTTGCTCTTAATTTGAAATGGATTTTTAATCACTTCCAGGTGCCTCAAAGAAAGTGCACACGCTTGTTTACTATAATCACTCTGACAGAAGAATGCATATAGGAGGTAACATGCTTTTTCTTTTACTAATTGAAATGTTTGGGACTTTGGTGTGAAGCGAAGCGCCAAAACACAGCTCTTTCTGGATGATTTACTGAGCACACAATGAAGAACTGTGAAATGAAGTTTTCCAATTGATCTGTTCCTCAGAACTTGTTTTACAAAGAAAACGAATAGCAAATATCCTCTAAAAGCAACTGGGTATTAGAACACATCAATCTCTCCAAATCCAGTTGCTATTTTTTTCAGCTAGAGGCCTGATGAACTAGCTCAGGGATTTAGCTGCATACACGTCAGCCGCCCGCTTAACAAGATTCAGTTTAGTTAGTGGAAAATATTGAACTCACAAAATTCTGCTTGTCCTTTAAGAGTGAGCCTACAACAACAGTCGGAGCTGAACTCCAGCCGGAGGCAGCTACTTGGTAAACTCTACTGTTCTAAACGAGGGCACCAGCAAGAGTGTAACTTGTTGAAAACCAGACAGATTTTTATCCTAAGCATATCTAGAATTGGTATCATCACTGGAAACTATTAGCTGTATAAGAGTTAGGGCATCGACTATCCAGAAAAATAGACTCTCAGCTCCCTCTGGTGGAAAAAGTCATTTTCTGCAGAACAGTTCAAGTGAGAAAAGCTTGTTTCTGCTACCAGTCCCAAGACCATGAGATCATTGAGATGAGAGAGTCAACAAAATCCCAACCCCTCCATTCACTTCAGACTGGAACTTCTTAGAAGCTGATGTAAAATTTCACAACTCTCAGACTATTGCAGGGCAGCTGCACAAGACAACGCACTCATCAAATTCCAGCTGTGGAAGGTGACCCAAGAGAGCCTTCATCTTTCCTGGATGGAGTTCTCCAAATGTAGATTATGGTACATAATCTAATAATAAGACTCATGAACCAAATGATAGCCCCAAGGGGAGAAAAAAAACACCCAAAAAACCTACCACACAGCCCGAGCAAATTCTAATATTCTCCCCACAGTAACCAACTTCTAAGCCCCTTAAGAAGACCCTTCATCAAGGGAAGCAGAAGCACACTTCCAGGGAACATGAAGTATGAAAGGGCAAAGTCATCACCCCAACATACCCAGACAGCAAGGAATTTTTTCAGTTCTACATTTCTTAAGTCTTACTGCCAACAGAGCACGTCACAAACACAATCAGCATAACACAAAGCCGCCAAAAGTCCTCAAGATAAACGTGTTGGTCAAGATACACAGGCATGTTTAATCTTACCAACAGTGAACAAAAACTCTCCTTCTGAACTTCAGCATAATTCAAACCTCCCATTTTGAAAAAACTTAGCGAAGAGTCCAAAAATTGCCAAAAAACTCTTCTCACTAGATATTCAGTCTACAGGTAAGCGCATTAACCAAGGAACTCCGCTTCCTCTGCATCAGCACAGGAAGAGCAACTGTCTAGAACCGCATCACCATTTGTCTTTGCCTTCTTGATAGCAAAGAAAATTCAAGCCGATTTCCACCACACATACTCTAGATATATTTAAGGTTATTCCATCCTTTCTAATCAAAACAAATCATGCAAGATATTTCTGCTTCTTCACCACAAAGCTTAGAAAGTAATTCCTGGAAATACACCAGTTATGTCACAAAAAGGTGAATAAACAAAGTATTTTGTTTCCAATTAGAGGAATCAATAGTTCCACTATAATTAAGCACACAACTAGCTGCTCTGACAAATTCTTTGTAGCTTCTGCAAACAGAATCGTAAGTAATTCCTACAGTCCAACACACCAGAATGGCTTCTTGTAACAATGGGGCTCTGAAAATTTTCACACTGCCACAGAAAGAAGACTTACAGATCCAAAGAAGGGAAAACAGTAGCAAAAAAGTATTTATTAAAAACCATGTTATTCAAATTTCAGTGAGGGATTAAGACTCATATTTGCTCCTTGGAAATAGCAGAGCCGAGCAATCCTGTGAGAGTGGGGCAGAGGGTCAGATCTGCAGATGAAGTTTTTTGAGAACAGTAAAATACTGTTTCCACAGCCAGAGAAACGTGAGGGTGGGGAAAGGAACAAAAGCAACAGCCAACCAAACACCCTTGGAGTGTTTTGTGCAACATTTTTCAGCACAGAAAAGCTATTAAGACTAAAAAATGACGTTGTATTAGGTCTGAAGTTTTGGTTTCATACGTTCAAATATTAAAAAAATACTATGGCATGTACAATTTGATCTCCGTGGGTGCAACTAAAAATAACTTAGTTACTAAAACATTTTTTCTCCAAAAGGGCAGTTTTCTACCAGCTGAAATGTCTATGTATTTAACTGGAAGTCTCACGATGACTGCAGCTCCATCAGCTTTCCTTATTGACATGGAAAGCAGCCTGCTTTCAGTCTTCTGCACAAACACCAAGTCTGCTCAGGTAGCTCTCCCAAGCTGCCTTCCTGTACTTCTCTGCTTCTTGAAGACGGTCTGAAGCTGACAAGATGCCACGTCCCACAATGATGATATCTGAACCTTTTTCACTAATAACTTCCTTGGGGCTTAGGTACTGCTGTCCAAGGTTATCACCTGAAATAGACACACCATTTTCTTTAGTTCATACAAAACTGTATCTACAAAAAACCTCCTACTACCTACTAAAAACCTTCAAAGGTTCATGATAGATAGATTGGTTACACAAAGAAGTACTGATCAGGATTACTGTAATAAGCTCTAGCCTTCTTAAAACAGGCAAATCCCCAAACATTCACATAAAAGCTTGAGATTTCACTTCAGGTTTCATAAGAATTACGTACTGTAGAGAAACACATCTTCCCCAGCTGGTTCAGTGATAAGCTGTTTAGTCACTATAAGACTTCAAACTCATTAATATTGCATCTGTATCAATATCAATAGTGTTACAATTAGACTTTTGTATTTGTTTTTAAAAAAATCTTTTTTTCTACTCCTACTGAGAAGTTGTACATCCAACCTAACACCTACCTGAAGGCATTTCACATGTATTAAGGACTGTGCTTTATGGTATGCATAGACTTCAGCACACAAACAATGCTGTTGGTTGCCTTTCAGAACTCACAAGAAAGGGACCAGTGTACCCAGAAACACAGAACGGCAAATACAGACTCCTCCCACCACAGAACCAGCAACCAAAGCCTCTTCAGAAGTCACTTTTTCACTGAAGGCTAGATCACTCACTGTACTTACAAACAGGCTATAAATATTTCAGAAAAAAAAAAGTTAGTTACCTCCAGCTTGCAGCTGCACTCCTGGAGTTAAGTGAAGAAATTCCGGTTTATTACTAACTCTAGATCCAGATATGAATCCAAAAACAAAATCTGAGTTGTCTTCAGCCATCTGTACCTGAAAAATAAGTAAACAGTTACAAATTATATACCTAAAATTAAGCTTGACTGTTTCTCATCCACCTTTTGACACTCCAAGCTCTGCAGGGCAGGGGTATGAAACACCTGTTCTTGCTTTACCAACATAAACCCTCCCAGAGCTGACTCACCCCTCACTGGTCCCACTGCACTTACAGCCAGGAATGTGAATTTTATGTTTCTTTCCATGTTATAAATAATACAATGAATGAACTTAAACTAATTAGAAATTTATTGCTAAAGAAAAAGAAAAGGAGAGGGGAGGGGCAATAGCAAACTCAGCATGTTGACTAGAATTCAGTGTGAACTCCGACCACTTTACACCACTAGCCTACAGCTGCAATCTTTAAACACCACAGCATCAGATTCCTGAGTCTCCACAGGAAAAAAAAAAAACACCCTATAATAGTTAGAGCTGGGGAGACTTTTGGAAGTGCAAATATTAGAAGCACACAAAACCTCAGTGTCACAACACTTTACAAGCTTTTAACCTTCAACAAGACTGCCTACTTACTGCAGCTTTTGTGTATTCACCCGTTGCAAGTGACCCTTGGGAACTCATCTGGGCAATCAGGAGACAGCCGCGCTGGAGAGGAAGACCTACTTCCTTCAGGCCTTTCACCACCCCAGGGCCTGGAACCACGTGGGCATTAATGATGTCTGCCCAGGATCCGATTCTGAACACACCACCTGAGAAGATGGACAGCAAGACACAGACATATTGTTATTAGAAATGCATTAAACTGGAAACAGAAGTTAAACAAAACAAGCTGCAGGGTAAATCATTCACATTTTAAAAGACAGTTTTACTGCTGAAGCTTGACAGTTACAAGTTCAGTCTCATCAGACAGCCTAACCGCAAAGCATAATCTCTGTTTTACTTTTCACAAACACTTCTTAGCGTCTCGCCTGTACTATTCATTGAGATGCTTATGGTAACCTAAACATTTGCTGTCACAGGTGCTACCTTTCAATACAGCATGGAGATCATATGGGACACAGATCAGGAAAAAAAAGGTTCTACAGTTGCAGATGCACTATGGACTGAAAGCCGTGATGAGCACACAAGCATACAGCAGCAGCCTGCCTTAAGAAGCCACGCTGCACCTTCTCACAGCAAACGACGACTCACAAGTACTTACTGAGCACAACCATTGATTCATAAAAAGGTTTAGGTTGGAAGGGACCTCTGGACCCCTGCCCTCTCAGCAGGGTTAACTTCAAAGCTAGATCAGGTTGCTCAGGACTTTGTCCCCTTGAGTCTTCTCCAAGGCTGGAGATTCCACAATCTCTCCTGGCAACCTGTGCCAGCGCTGCAGCTACACACACCCGCAGAAAAGTTACAGTAAATCGAGGCTGATGATAATCACCTTCATATTGATGTTTCACTGTGTTTCCAATGTCTGCAAATTTCCTGTCTTCAAAAATCAAGAATTCATGTTCATCTGCGAGCATTCTCAACTTCTTTACTACCTCTTGGGTAAAATCTTTCAGGATGTCTACATGAGTCTTCAGGATGCAAATGCTGGGGCCCAGGGTGGCAGCTACCTGCAGCAGCTCTTTGGAGCTTGTGACATCAGCAGAAAGGCACAAGTTTGTTTGCTTCTTTTCCATGAGCCTGAGAAGCCTGGCCGCAACAGGGTGTATCCCCTGCAGCTCAGCACGAGCGCTGAAGCTCAGCTCTTTGCACAGTCTCTTCACAGGAGCGTGGCTGTTCCGAGCCACTGGCTCAAACGCATTCCCTTCAATGAACTTCTTCACCTTTTCAACCATCTCAACGGCCACTTCTCCCTGCTGCTGGAGAATCTCCAACACCCCAGACAACGTGCACACCGAGTGCAGGCGAATTCCACATTCCTCTAACCTGGCTTTCCCGCCCTGCTCCCTGTCCAACAGCACCACGGCATCCGTGACTTTTAATCCTTCTTTCTGAAGAACTTCCGCAGTTTCTAGTACACTAGATCCACTTGTTACCACATCTTCAATGATCAAGCATGTTTCTCCTGGATTAATGGTGCCTTCCACCAGCCGCTTGGTACCTTAAAAATAAAAGGCAACCACTCCACTGAATTAAAAAAGTTTAAGAGACCCAAAAAAACCTTAAAAGTATCAAAACTTTAACCTCCTATGCTAATATAAACATCATATTTGTTCCACAAACGAGCCTAAGCTGCAGTGTACCCTGAAGTCCAATAGAAACAGACTTCAAGAGAACAGAGATTTCACATTTACTTTCAGTATGGAGAGGTAATTTGTTTAATTATTACCTGATACAGGTTATCACAGTTCTTATCACAGCTCAGTCACTGACTTGTAATTAAATTCATAAGGACCGCTACTTCTCCAAGTGAATAAAATACTTCTCTACATTTACAGAAGTTGTTCCACTAACAAAATGATATATTGTTAACAGCACAAACGTTAATCTTTAGAGGACTATCGAAGTTTATTATTGCCATGAAGTGAATGCTCAGAATTTCAAACTGCTTTCTCCACTTACTTTAAAATGTCTTTAAAGCAGCCAAGTTATTGGTACTCCGTTCTTATCACAGCTCAGTCACTGACTTGTAATTAAATTCATAAGGACCGCTACTTCTCCAAGTGAATAAAATACTTCTCTACGTTTACAGAAGTTGTTCCACTAAGAAAATGATACATTGTTAACGGCACAAACTTTAATCTTTAGAGGACTATAGAAGTTTATTATTGCCATCAAGTGAATGCTCAGAATTGGAAACTGCTTTCCCCACTTACTTTAAAACGTCTTTAAAGCAGCCAAGTTATTGGTACTCCTCAGCATACTTCCTGTTTTCCACAAGCATTATTCAGTGCTTAATATGCCTGTTAGAACAATTAGAAGGAGTAAAGCCCCCAAATGCCTTTGCCCTAGCCAACAGGCACACGTCCATGAAAGGCCTCCTGGGGGGCAACAACAAAGGATGCCCAGCTTTCCCAGGAAGCAGCAAGCAGCAGGAGAACATTATGCAATGAGTGCAGTGTTTAGTGCAGTGTTTAGAACCACCACAGCTCAGAGAAGGAGCGAACGTGCAGCTTTGCAATCCATGTGACACCGGAAACCCTGTGCCAGGCAGTTAATTGCTGTCACAATTGACTCGTCCTTCACAAGAAGGAACAGCAAACGTTTTTATGTCTGGCACGCTGACTGACACAGGCGTCACTTAGTTGTGACGAGCATCCTTTCTAAATGAACACAGTTAGAAGAGGATAGCTTTTATCATATGCCCAAATCTAGTTGCTATGGCAGGTTAATGTTCTAGTCTTCTCTCCCCCTTCCCTCTGCCAAAATCCAACAATTGGTTCAATGGGTAGAGAATTGACTGCTTCTCACCTAGTCCACCTTGCCCACTGATGACAGGGCTACAGGATTATGAAAGAAAAAGGGATTTGAGAAGTAAACGAAGATGAGACTAGAGAGGTTCCTCTTAGAGTTGATATGCAAAAAGTCCTGTTTAGGGGTGAACGTGGCACTGGTTTCAGCATATCAGAGAAACCAAGTTATAAAGCTCAGCTTCTGGAAGAGGCCAATAACCCTCAAACCAGTAACACTGCTGAAGCCAAAAAAAAGACACTGCTGAAGCCAAAAAACAAATAGAACTGTCCCTCTCAAGTGTCTCCCAATCTACTACAGCAGGATTTAAGCTGCACCTTAATCACCAACCAGCTAGGAGAGCCTGACCAGTTTGGGATGCTGTGGGAGGTATGTTTTAGGGGGAAAGGAGGCTGCTTTTTGAATTGGCTGTAATAGCCTTAGACTGGAACAGAGATGCAGCACATTACGAAAGAACAACAAATAATATCAAGTCATATCACAAACAAGACAACAAGCAGTCATAAATTCCTGATTTGAGAGCTTTACCATAGTCCTTCCCTTCCTTCCTCCGTATAAGCATTGGAATCTGATTCTCAGAGCAGATAATGGTGGCCAATGGCAGCGCTGTGTAAGGAACACCACACACGCAGTCATACTGGAGCCCAGCACCTTTGGCTGTTTGAAAGAGAAGATCTGCAACCTGAAACGGACAACCAGGTATTTTTTGAAAAGTCACACAGCAGCAATCACAACTAAACACGTCTCCTACCAAGGGTAGCAACGCAAACGCACAGAAACCTCTCTCCTTTACACCACTTGCCAGTCGCTGTCCCTACAGCGAGCAGACAGCCCGACACCTCCACCCAGCGGGCTCCAGGCCAACAGGCCACAGGCCAGGCCCTCCGGAGAGGCCCGGCAGCCCTCCCGGTCCTCCTCCCCACCCCTCCCTTCAGCTAAAAGAAGGCCAGAGAGCCCCGAGACCTCCCAGGTGTCGGCACAGACCAGCACCCTTGAGGCACGGACAAGCGCGGCCTGGCACCCCAGCCCTTCTCCGCCGAGCAGCGCCTGGCCCGGCCCCTCTCCCCCCACACCGGCGGCGGTCGCCGGGCCCCGGGAGGGAACCCCCCTCCCCCCCCCCCATCCCCGCACCTGGCGGAGGAGCAGCGGGTGGGAGACGAGGCAGCGCAGGTCGATGTAGACAGGGGAGGCCTGGCCGCTTTTCAGCACAAAGTCGCCGAAGCGCAGCCCGCCCGCCTCACGCAGCGCTGCCGCCACGCGCACCGCCGCCGCCATCGCGACCCGGCGCGGAGAGATGACGCAGCAGCGCGGGAGGGGGGAGCGGCGCGCGCCGTGCGCATGCGCGGCCGCAGGACGAGGCTCCCTGAGGGGAGCGCGATGGCGGGGGCAGGCCCAGCCTCCGGCGGGACCCATCGCCTCTGGGCGCCGCCCGGGTTCCCCTTTACCGGGCTGTGGGGCCCAGCCCCGCACGGCAGAGAGCCCGGATCCCCGCCGCCCGGCCCCACGCCACAGGGGGAGGTGTTCGGGGGTTTGCCCCGACCTCCCCTCCGGCTGCCCCAGTAGCATCTCTTTCCACAGAAGAGGGGTGTGCAGCCAGCCAGAGACTTTGTGCTGTGGCTCCCAAAAGGCTGCTTGGTTTTTGGGGTGGCCTGCGCAAGGCGGAGAGTTGGCTGGAGAGGTGGGCCCTTGCTCCTGTGAATGCCCCTCCAATAAAGATCGGGGAGTTGGAACAGATGATCTCTGGGGAGTTGGACCAGGTGATCTCTAGAGGTCCCTTCCAACTCTGACAATTCCATGATAACATGAAACATGAGGTGAATGAAGCCATCGTTGAACCCCGAGTTGCCAAGGTCTCAGTGGAGATCGCCGTACGTGTGAAATAAGACTGACCCCGTCTTCTCTGAACAATTGTATTTAATCAAAAAAGCCCAGAAACTGCATCATTAGTATACTCTATTTATAGGAATGCAAGGACAGAAGATGTACAGTTGGAAGATACATCTGTAGATGATCATATATACTGCAGTATAGTAATAACAACATGGGACAGCAAGTAATCACCTCACAACAGTACACATGAGTGATTAGACTTACAAAGGAAATATTTACAAACTTACCTTTACAAAACAACATTGTGTGCGTACAAAATGAAATCTGCAATAAAACTGAAGATACATTTAAGGCAGACCAGCAATACACTGAAATAATTAAGGCTGTGGAATTACTTTGCACCTTGAAAATGCTGAGCTGTTAGCAATACTGTTTCTTTTGTCCTCCTTCAGTTGATTGTTGCAAAAATTGAAAAGCATCAATATATTCCAGCTGTTAGCTCTCATCTCAGTGAACAAATCTGAGATTTAATTTTTAGGGTTTTTTTTTTTTGCACTTTCTATTGCATTTGCCTTCCAAAAATTACCAGCTAATTGACCTCAGTGGCAGAGCAACACTGAACAGTTTGGTAGAAAGAGAGGTAAAAGCACCAGCATCAGAAGTTGGACATGAAGGTGAGATATGGCTTGAGTAGAGATGTTGGTTTTTTCACTAGCTCCATAATAAAGACTACAGTTACAGCGAATATTCAGCATCCTGACGCTATGGTAACACTCACCACTATACAGATCCCAGAACGAGAATTCATCACTTGATGGCAGTGTGCAGTCAGCCTAGTAAAATGGGATTTTATTTTATTTCCTTGGGAAAGCACCATTTTCTGACGGGACATGAATGAATGAGCTGGGAATTAAATCCAAGCCCTGTGTTGGAGGAGAATCTGCCTCTGCAGTGGAAGGAACAGAAACAAAACCAGGTGGTTAGCCCCTGTGCACGTTAATTCTCTCTTAGACATTTATATATACAGACTAGCCTTTACATCTGTCTCGGATGTTTATATTATCCCAGGTCACTTGATGCAGTCCCCTCACTGCAAGGGTATTAAAATTGGGTTATATATAGTCAAGTAATAATGTGCGGTTCTGCATTTAGCCTTTATTCACGGTTTCCATAACAAAGGCCCAATAGCATGATCAGAAATGCCAATGAGCTCCACTGAAGCCGCAGAACTTGTACAGGTCAATTGAGGGCACAGACTTTATCTCAGCACTTAGTTTAAAAGTAAAATGCTTTTAAAGATAAATGTTACTGGAAAAAATAGAGTCACTTAAAATAAAAGGGCAGTAAGAGTAAAAAAGACTTGTTGGTACAAGTAGGAAGAGAGAAATTTTATAAATTTTAAAGCCAGGATTGCTTTAAAATATTAAATTCCAAACCCCTGGACTGGCTGCGTGTCATCCCTGTAGTAACATGCGTAGGGCGTTTGGCAGCTCGGTGGAGACATGGGGGTCACCCACAGGGCAGCAAGCGCTTGGGACACAGGATGACAATGTTACAGGGGCAATCAGATTTCCTGTCCGATGGCTAAGAGTGAAACTACCTGGCCGGGCTGCTCCGAGTGGAGCAGAGAGAGAGAGGAGAGTTGGTTTCTTGTTGCCACTTGCACTCTTTCATTGTGGCCATCTTAAATAATGAGTGGCACATGTCACCGGGCTTTGTGTTGCTGGTGCCCTTGCTGCTGCCTTCCTGCAGGCCTGCCACCCAGCCCAGCCCCAGGGTGACACTGTGAGCAAGTGTTCTTTGATGTCAGTGCAGAGTAAGGCCACCGTGAAGATGTCTGAAGGTGGTGGCTGCGTGCGTGGTGCCAGTCTGCACTGGGCTTCTGCTGCTCCATTGCTAGTAATACTGTTGGTCATTCTAGCTGTTCTGAAGCTGCCACAGAAGCTGGAAGGTGCAGATACTGTCACGCCTTCACTCGGCCATCATGGGAATACCCTGAGTGCTAAAGCTGCAGGTGGAAATCTTTCCCTCGGAGCCAGCTGCTCTCTGAGGAGCTTTGTAAGTGCCCAACGGAGATTTATGAGAAACAGTGTTTCCCCGTGTTTGTTACAGGCAATATTTCATGCACCAAAAAATCCAGTACTTGGAGAATGCTGCAAAAGGGGATGGCTGTGGTGCTTCTCACCCAGTAGGCTCACTCCAGGCCTCCTTCCTGAGCTTCTGCAATCTCTTTATGACAGAATTACAGTTTACTAGAGAGTTAGAGGTCCTTTGGGGTCTGCAGAGAGGCCACAGGTTGGCTGAAAGAGACCTTGAGAGAGCAAGGTCAGAATACTTCCTCTGTATTTATCATACGGCAGCATTTGATGTCAACTTGATTTTATTTAGGCACAAGAAATCTTTGAGATAAAATGCAAGAATGGTTGATAATCACAAATGAATCTGGACGTACTAACTTGTAGTACTTAACTAATCTGAGTTTTCCTGAATGTGCTGTAAGAAGAGCAGTGCCCAGGAAGAGGAGTTCTCTCTAACACAGAAAAAGCAGAACCATAGAGGAAAGCAACTCCATAACATTCAAAATCTTCTGAGTTCAACACCTCCAGCTCTCCCTTGTTAAGAAATTGTCTTTTTTGGAATCTAAGCAGCAATACCTAACATGTATCCTCTTCCAGCCTTTTGGTTTGGTTTTTTGGGGGTTTTTTGGTGTTATTTGATACCAATGAAAGGCTTAAATATCCCTTTAAACAATCCATCTCTTCCCCTCTGTGTATCCAAAGTGTCTGCTGTTACAGTTTGAGATGTGAATGTAGGAGGTAAGAAAATAAAATGATAAATAACTCCAGATTTCATGTGATACATGAGAATTTGTTTGTATTAGTGCCAAGTAGAAAGTCTGTGGCTTAAACTGTACCCACAGGCCTAATAAAAGCTGTGGGTTTTATAAACCACACTTCCACAAATATTTTTTTAAGGGCAGCGCTATCACAGCACAAAGAGCCAGCTTTGACAAATAGGAAGCAGTACAAACAGTCCTGTAGTGAGAAAGTACCTGAGGCTGGTGCTAATTAAAGATACCCCTTGATGACTGCTGTCTGAAGAAGTTTTGGTTGCTAAGAAATCGCATGCTTCGCACTCTTGCTCAGGATGAGAGTCTGGTCTATGTCTAAGAGGTGCTGCTGGCTCACTTAGACAATGAGCTGCTGCACGACAGAGGGGAACTGAGATAGGGTTTAGCCTTATGTGAATGCCATCTCTTTCTGGCTGGATGGGCTTTGAGCATCCTGGTCTAGTGGGAGGTGTCCCTGAACATGGCAGGGGGTTGGAAGTAGATGATCTTTAAGGTCCCTTCCAACCCAAACTACTCTATGATTCTTTCAAGCCTTTGCACAACTCCCCTCTGTGTTAGATCTCTCTCCAGCAGCCACACAGCCTCGTACACCACTTCTGGCTCTGCTCAGGCACCCGGCCTCACTCTCCTGACTGTGGCTCCCTGACCTCAAGATCTGTTCTTGTATTGCATGCACATGGTGCTGAACTTGAGGTTTTGGTTTTTTTTTGCTGTGCCTCCTTTCTTCTCCACTAGCGGAATACTGACCACTCCAGTGCACTGATAGAGAAGGGCCAGGCCTCCATCCTTCCCTGAAGCTGAGCTCAGAGGTGGATCAAAGAAAGGACTAGCAGAGCCCTGAGAGTTTAACAGTCCTTGCAGAGTATCTCCACCGCCTGCTGGCAGAGACAGCTTTTGCTCCTGCAGAGATAGCGCAGGCTCACAGTGCAGTTACTTGGATGGTAAATTAAATTTGACTCTTGCCCTTACAAGAGACTCTATACTGAGCATACTCAAGCCCTTTTATCCAGGAAAACCTTTGGCAACAAGTGATATTTCCCATTATAGGCACAGCAATGGCACTCAGCACCGAGACAAAGTCCTCACATGACAGGGGGGGAAAAAAAGTCTCTCTTTGATCGTCACCTTACAAGGCTGCAGAATTTTATGGTGCAGCAACAGGATGGGGAAGCCCCAGGCAGGGAGGTGTTTCCCTTCCCAGTCCCACTGCTAGAGAGGAAGGTTTGGCCAGTCTACAAACTGCTGATTTGTCACTGCTGACTCCCTGCGTTGGTTATATTTAAGGCTGGCTCCATTCACTGTAACATCAATATGAGGATGTTGCAACTTGGCTTGCAAGAGAGAAGTGTTTTAATTGTGAATATTTTTTATTTTATTACAAATGAGGCTTTGGACATAAAAATATCCTCACGAATGCTTTGGTGATGAGGTGCTAATGGAGGCTGAGAGATATTTACAAGTTTGGAAATGAAACAAATGACATACTTTAAACACTGAAAACGATTTTCAAGCTGTAAGCACAAGGGTGAACTCACCACTCCTACTGCACTCTGAAAGGCTTAGATGGACTTTGGGCCAAGCAATTCTGAAGCTAGAAATGGAACAGGATCCTTTAAATATATATATATATTTATATGTATGATACAATATATGTATACTGAAAACCTGTGATAGAAAAAAATTGTCTTCATCATCGTCATCTAGTTTACAGATACTGCAAAAATTGGACACAGCCTTTTCTCAATGCACAGGTTTTGCAAAAGATTTCTGTACAGTGCTTATAAAATGCTTTTAAAAAAACCCATCGTAGTCCCATTGTGCTTAGTCAAAACTAGCTGTATGCTCCAATGAATTAATTGCCTTAATCGTAGCTCTGGAAGGTACTGCATGTTGACTTGACACAGCAGAAAGCCCGAGGATTAACGGGGGATTTTGGTCTGAGCACTAACACAGCGAGAGTGTATCTAAGCCACGCCACCACGGAAGCCGACCCAGCCGTGAGTAGGGCCTGATCTTGCGTGTCCTACACAGGCAAAGTCCCCACCAAAATCACGGCAGACCCGGGAATATGAGGCGTGCAAAATCTGTTAACCTGGAGCAGGCTTGCAGTGATTTCAGCAAAAACTGACTTCAGTCCAGTTCTGCAGTACGTGCTAAGGTCAGCCTAGTCTCACTCCCCCCAACTACCCTACTCCTAATCTCTTGTACATTTTGAAAGCAGTTCAGCAAGATCAAGAGGATTTCTTATAAGGCTGCCTCACAGAGATTAAGGCAACTGCAATTTTGGCTCTCATTTCCAGTTGGTGATTGCTTCCCGTGGTCCTGTTTTGGGGTGGATGAGACAACAGGCCGTGTCCCAGGAGGAGCCCACCAAGGGGAGGGAGCGGGTATCCACCGGCCGTTACCTCCTTTGCTTTGGTCCCGAGGAACTGGGCAGATGCTGCCACCTCCGCAACGATTTGTGCCCTGGGGTCAGGGAAGCCACGTGAAATGTAAACGCCGAGTACGGGGCTATGTACAGAGAGATCTGCTTTGTGCCTGCTCGCTCCGTGCGCCAGCGGTGAGGGACCCCGGGGAGGGGGGCATTACGTGCCTGGGTTCAGCCTGCTCATCAGGAAACTCTTGACGCTGGGCACCGGGTGCACGTCGTACTGGTGCCTGCGGCGCTCGATGAAGGAAGCCAAGCGGGAGGTATCCAGCGGGATCTTGGAATAGCTGCTGTTGTGCGCCTGCAGCCACGGATGCTGTAAACAAGTGGCCGCTGTCGGCCTCCTCCTGGAGTCTTCCTGGAGGATAACGTTGATGAAATCCCTGGCGGCGTGACTCACATCGGAGAAGTACTCGGGCGGGAAGCTGAAATCTACTCTGCACACATTGATACAAGTCTCCTCTTTGCTTTCATCCAGGAATGGAGAGACACCACTTAACATGACGTAGGTGAGGACGCCGATGCTCCAGATATCCGTGCTCAGGGAGACAGGAAGGCCTTGGATAACTTCAGGAGCTGTGAACTCTGGGTTTCCAAGGAGGTGGTGGACGTGGTAATGACCTGTGATCTGAACTGCGTCTTCTAAATCAATGATCTTGACACGAGGTACTGGGATTCTTAAATCAATGAGCAGATTTTCCGGCTGTTGAAAAAATAATAACAAAAACTTAATTATGTTATATTTTTGCAAATCAGATGTGTAGATTTCATTTAGGTTTAATAGCCAATCAAATCTCACAATTAATCAGGTATGTGAGGTACAGATCAGGAGAGTGAATGACAAGGAAGCAGCTCAGCTGCTGTTTACACTGCTATAAATTCAGATCAATGCTGAAGTTGCACTGACAACATCCTCCTTTGCACTAGGGCAACACACTGGGATTTTGCACTTTGTCCCAAATACTCACAGTTTTATTTTCCCAAATAAATCTTGACAGATTAAAAGCACTGACAGATTTTTAAATTTTGATGAGATTTGTGTGTCTCTGATACAAGTTTGTTTAGATTCCATTTGTTTACATGGCAACTGGCTACATAAATGTGCATAACTTGTAGCAGAAATGTTCTTCATGAAGTAAATATTCAACTTTGCTCCCACCACCACGTGTCCTGGGAGGGAGTCTGGTGAGTGCCATTACTGTCGCTGTCACTTGACATGGATGGAGCTGTCAATGTTCCCATATCAACCAGTACCGGTCGTGCCTTCAAAGCCAGAGTACAATTATATTTCATCCCAGTTGGTTTTCCCTCTGTTTTACCAACTCTTCCAGTATTTAAGATCTTTCTCAGTGGGAGATACCAAGCATTGCCTTTACACTCTGCTCTGGGGACTTAATGTGGATTTTGCTTTCTTTGCTGAGATTTCTGAATTTTCTTCTTTCACCCTCTCTAGACTCACTTTTCTGTCCTATAGCCCCTCATCCTCATGCATATTTTACTGCTGCCTCATGGTAATATAGATATACACTGCTGTTCAAATCTGTTTGCTCTTCTCTTGTGCAGTCTGCATTGACAAAATCAAGACGTTCTTGAGCGGGATCCTGGGAGAAGACAGTCCATGGCTAGGTCTGCTGTCACTCCCAATGCATCTCCTGCTCCCCACTTAGCAACAGAAGGTGCTTTATTTAGCATCCCTCATTCAGGAGAACTGTAAATAGGTCACAGAAAATTGGCTTCCCACCTTGTTTCTGGGAAGTATCTTATGATCAAAGAGAGAATTCAGTGCAGTTTCTTACCTCTAAGTGATACCTACTTTTTGACAGGTCCTATAAATACATGAGAAAATACAAACAATCTCACAGAAAGAAACCAGAATTATTTAGCCTTTTGGGACTAATGCTCACACAAGATACTGTACAAAAGGAATCTTATTTTTCATAGTGGTCGTAGGCAGCAGAAGAATGAAAGCATCACTTCATCTGACATGCCTGGGGGGTTGGAGAGTTGAGAAGAGACCTCCTTGGAGCCAGATTGTCCACTATACAAGAAAGTTAAATTCATCACTCTTTCTCCGTTTTTAATTGGTGCTTAAGTCTGCAAAAAAATTATAGATTATCTGATCTCCTTGGCAACCGGAATCAATGCTGCAGATCACAAAACTCAAAACACTTGATCATAACTTCAATCACTAATTCTCTGTCATCCAAGATAACTGGGATGTCGGTGGGGACAGCAGTACAATGCCGAATCCAGGACAGCACGGTGCCTCCTGCCACGTGTGCTAACAAAAGGAGGTACAAGCAGTGCTAATCCAACTGAGTGTGACATCAGGGAATGCGTGAATTTCTTCTCCACAATGCAGCTTGTTCTTCCTCTGAACCTCTCCCTGGGTGGATTTCCCACCCGGTTCCCCTCTCAGGCTCTGCAGCACAACTTGGGGTGCTGCTTTCCTTCACCCCTGCTAGCCCTCCCCACCTCCTGCTGCCCTGCACCCTCCTCTCTCTTTGCTCTGGGATCTCCAGGGCTCTGCTGTGGATGTGAGGGAGACGGATGTGAGGGAGACACATGCTCCTTCTGTTCTGCCCTGAGCTGCCTGGGCACAAGCCAGCTCTGCTTAGCAAGCTTGGTAGCTAAGATGGTACAGGTGTGAGCCCAAACCATGCCCCGTGGATTTATAATTCCCCTTCAACTTGCTCCTTCTGTTCTGCCCTGAGCTGCCTGGGCACAAGCCAGCTTTGCTCAGCAAGCTTGGTAGCTAAGATTGGGTGTGAGCCCAATCCATGCCCCGTGGATTTATAATTCCCCTTCAGCCAGGTGCTAGTGACATCTCACTCTTGCCTCAGACACCCTCCTTCTCCATCATTACATCCGAAAGCTCTTGAGAACAAACAAGTGAATCAAGAAAACAGGTGCATCTCTTGTCTGAAGGAAGAAAAAAGAGCTTGTGTTGCAGGTCAGTAAGTCTTTAGTGATCATCTTTGGGGCACAGACTGCACCTTCTCCCAGTTTATACAGTTGGGAACTCTCTGTACCAGGGCACTAAATAATAGCATTGTTCTCTTTTCTTCTTACCTTTATGTCTAAGTGAGCCACTCTGCAATTGTGAAGATACTGCAAGGCTTCCATTGTGTCTCTTATATAGAAAGCGACTTTTTCCTCCATTAGTTCATCGTGGTTCATTAGATAATCTAAGAGACGACCGTCATCCATCCTACAAACAAATCAAACCCTGCACATGAAAGATCACGTGATATCTCTAGGAACAGTTAATATTTGAAAACAAAATTGCAATGGAAACTTTGTGACCTAAAAATGGAGGAAACCGAAATGCAAGATCTGATGAGTATTTAATGATATCTCAACACACTGCAGGCCGTGGAAGTGGTAGAATGATTAATCCTCAATTGTTATCTCCGGTCCTTGAAAAATTTAGCAACAGTCTCAAAGTAAACTCATTTGCTTAAGGATGGATTCATTAGATGGAGGCAATTCCTTTGAAAACGGATCCTCTTAATTATTTGGATTCATCTATTTATTTATAGAGCTGCTTGCATAATGCAGAAAAGAAAAAAAAAAAAAAACACTGACATTTTCAGCTGGTACTGTGTTCTGTGGGAAAACTAACCCAATAAAAGTTTTCCACCTAGTTTTATTTTTCTGTATAAATAAACAAGCAAATAGCCCCAATACACTTTGTTGGATATACTGTAACGAAGAAGCATTTTGGATCTCAGTTGCTATTTCTCCTTATAGGGGCAGAGTTGCTACACGGCTCTTTTCACCAAGAAGTATTAGAACAATGTAGGCTTCAATTTAGCTGAAACATTTACCCGAATATAAAAAATGAATAAAACTGCCCAAATAAATCTGAGGCTATTCAATGTGACAAACTAACTGCTGGTACAATTATCCAAGCTTCACTGGGGGAGAAAGCAGTTTTATTTGTCCCTCTGAATCTTATTTACTGTAAAGAAAAGACTGTGGAAGCTCTGCAGAAAATGGGTATTGCATTTGACATCATGATCAATAAAAAACAGGTGACAAAATCTTTCCCCCGCTGAAGTCAGGCTGAATTTTGTCCTGGGCTTTGACAGGGCTGTGATTCCTACCCAGACACTTGAATTCAAGCTGCATGTACTTACAGTTCCAAAACCAGTATGTAAGAAGTAGGAGATTCGTAGGTATCATGGATAGTGATGTACTGAGGATGCTGTAAGTGCTGTAACAGAGCTGCTTCGTGTGCTGCCTGCTCTTTCTTTTTCATTTTTTTACTAATGAATTTTACAGCAACGTCCTTCCGTGTGGCTTTGTGAACACATTTCTTTACTATGGAGAATCGTCCCCTGAAAAAAAACCCAAAACCACAGAATAATGAAGGGCCCTCATGAATTAATCATGCTTGGTTTTTGATGCAATAACAGACTGATTTTCGAAGTGTTCTTTGATTCGGCACATTAATATTTCACAAGGAATCAGACTTAACTAGTTGTTCATAACCTTTTCCAACAAAGAGCCTCCACCTCTTACCTGGGTGTAGAGATTCTTTGGGGATTAGCAAACACTGAGAGCAAACGGTGTTGCTTTGCTTTGTGCAGCCAAACTGATGCCCTCTAACAATCTCCCCTGGGTTCAATTTGCTGCCACTTTTACAGGTTCTCTCTCTTTTTTTTTAGCCTATGGGTCTCCCTTTTCCAGTTGCTTTAATAAAGAGCCCAGACTTTCTCAGACAACTAAAAGAAAAGCCTTGTTAAATAATCACAAACCTATCATTTTGTCTCACTGTTTCAGATGCACAGTAATAAATTAGGAAAAAACTTGGTGCTTGAAAGCATTTAGGAAACTTATACAGACTAGTACCATTCCTGAAAGTAAACTACTCAGTGAAACCATGTGCTGAACTCAGCCTTTTGTCAGTCCATCACTCTTCCTTCTACAGAACCAGAGAGATTCCTATCCTTTTCAGCCCCAGAACTACTTCCCTCTGATCTCTGAGGTGAAGAACTAACTGCATTAAGGGGAATTGTTTGCGTGCCCCCTATCTGTTCAATGGACTGTCCCAATCAGCAAAGCGCTTTTGCGTGTGATTTAAGTCAATCACGTGCCCAAGTGCTTCGGCAAACTCAGCCTTTGAGGTTAAGCATATCCAGAACCAACAAATTGTCACGACTTCAAAAGCTCACATCAAATCAGAGATGTCAGAGGAGATACCAGCGAGAGCTGGCAGTGGCTGCCAGACATTTGGCCGCCTAATTGTTCCCAAGTTTGCCAGGTTGCAATCTTCAAATCACGACTGATTTTGAAAAACAGGAGTAAGTCCATATTTCACCCGGTCTGTATTTTAATCAGTACTTAATGTGCAATGGTCTTTGAAAGGAGCAGTTTTCAAGTTAACTACAAAAAGCAACCTAAACTTTCTTCCAAGGAAAAAGCTTCAAGCTGCTGTGCTGCTGTTTTATTGCAGCGATAAGCGTGGTTAATATTACCTCCCAATCTCGTGCAGCTCGGTGTAAGCCAGGTCAAAGTTTTCCTTCCACGAAATAGTGGCACCATCGGCAGCAGAGTCTTTGAGAGAACAAAGCACGTTTGAGAAAGCGTAAAGTTAATGACAGTTTCATGTAGACTATAAACTGCATATTTTAAAATTATGGGAGACTATATTTCTCAAAACAGCAAAGATTACCGCTAGGAGTCCAGTTTCATACTGCTCGGGCACAGCTCCAATGGGTTGCACCACTAAAATCCAGAGCTCCCCAGAGGAAGCTGTGGATAAGGTGGATTCAAGTCTGTCCTTGCAATTTAGGGCTGAAAAGGGCCACACGGCCATTCTAAGGCACGTCTGTGTGTAACTGGGAGGTACAGCTACGCCATGTGAGCTCTCATGTCACCCGGCACAGGCTGAGCCAGTCACAGACCTAGGCACTGACTGGAGCTACTAAAACATGGGGAATGTGGGCTCTGCTCACAGCATTGCTGTGGGTGAGCTGTACCCCGAATTCCTGCAGTGCTACGTGCTGGGGGTTCGCCTCCATCACAGCCTTCCTATTGCTCAGAGCAGGGGCTACGTTCTGCAAGCTGACTTGTGGACCCCAGCTGAGCTGCCCAGCAGAAGCCCCTGATGCTACCAGCCTTATGGAAAGGTGGAGGACACACTGGACAGGATGTGGAGCCTGTTGCCTAGAGGTGAAGACAAGAAATGGTCTTGGGATAGAAAGCAGGGACCTTCTAAGAAACTGCAATAGCTTCTGTGATGAAGGAAGGCTGTGAGCCCTGCTGGAGAAGCACACATGAAAGGTCCTTTTAGTGGCAAGAGCTGGCTCTGAGCACCTCCAGGCTATTTCTTGTATTCCTACCAGGTCCAGGATCAATGTTTCTATCAGGACCCATCAAAGCACACCATACAGACCCCACATGTGGACACCTACACGCATCAGCCCATCCTCGCTGGGTCCTACTCACCGTACTCCGGGAGCCTTACAAATTCGGATGGGTCACTGGGCAAGCTGATCCCCCAGGGGTTGCTGGCACTCACTCGAAACTGATACTGGCAGCCTGGGGACAGATCCTCGATGACGAGGTACGTGTCCAGAGTTGAGGCTACCGACTGCTGCCAGACTTGTGAGCCTGCATTTCACAGAAGGAGAGAAGGAGGGCTGAAGGAAACAGTCTGAATACGTTAACTCAGAGCAGAAGCTTTCTCTACCCAATTCATGCAGCACCCTGGGAGGTTAAAATCCGCAAGGTTTTTAAAAGGCAATGTTACAGCAGACTGATGTATTTCCATTAAATCACAACTGGATCATAGGAAGCTATTTTGTGCTGCAGCCACCTTCCAGTCTGGCTAAATGAGGGAAGAAGGAAATGCCCCTGAGTTGACTGATAATGACAGCAAAACCACAAGCCAGGGACAAGTTGACCTCTGCAGCAGTCTAGCCATGGCTGGGTACTACAAGTGATGTCTCAGGGCGGCACGATAAGACAGGAATGGAGAGCTGATTTGATGACAGCTCTGGTGTGAGAGAATCGGCAGCAGAAATACTGAAAAAAAAAAAAAAAAAAAAAAAAGGGGGGCCCGGGGGAGCCCAGAATCGGCAGCAGAAATACTGCAAGAAAAAAAAAAAAAAAAGGAAAAGGGAGTCCCGGGTGCAGCTGAGACAGGATGTCAGTGCAATCAAAGTGCTTTTGCAGATGAAGCCTTTCAGAAGATGTGGTGGCTACAGTGAAACCCGGAGCTGGAGGAAGAAAACCAGCTTTCTGAGGCTTAGTATGGGCTTTTTGCAGATGAGCAGGATTGCAGCAAAGAAATGTGTGACTCTGTAACATCTTTCTGCTCCTAATGGAAACAAACCCAACCATCACCTAACCTGTGGCATCCAAAGAAGCAATACTTTATTCATCTGCACAGGGCCACAGAACAGAAAAGGTCCCCTAGGACACTGATCTCTGTCACAGCCTATGGTTTCTTTCACTAAATATATACAATTTAGTCTTATTTTAGTAAGTACAGGGCTTTTTACCTCCACCATTATTTACCATGACCCATATATTTTGTGTGTGCTGTGGGCAAATTCTGATTGCCAGGTCGTGCAAGGTCAAGGTTGGTTTTACAGGGAAGAGTCAGTGATTCCTTTGGAGTAGGAGGAATACTGAAAACTGAAAACACTGCTGCTTTTTTCCTGTTTGTTTTGGTGGCTGTTGGAGGAGCTTTTATTCTTTCACAAAAATGCCAGTCGCACTGACAGCACAGTGAGGGTCAAGGCAGAGTATTTTCTAAGAGAAGGTATTAATATGATGGAGTGATTAATTTCGCATGCTTACTAACATGAGGTAGGATTTTTTGAAGGATGAGGGGGAAAAAAACAGAGGCCATATACCTAAGGCAAAGTTTACTACTCAGGGACACTCACAGCTTTGCAGGAAGAATGCAAAAGGAGATGGGGATAATTTCAAATGCCCTTTTCAAGAGCACATGCCTGTGCTTATTGGGAAAACAGTGCATTTAATACCTATTTAATTCTTCAGGGGAAAATGATGGTTGGATTTAAGAACAAAAGGATTTCAGAGCTGAGCTTGAAGAGTATGCAGGGATCTGCAACTCTATCCAGATCAAAAAAATAGCGAGGCTGCTTTGTTTGTGCATTCCCAGGAAACATCCATCAGAAAGGATGGATACCATGGTGGCAGAATGCAAATGATGAAAGGATGCCTTAGTGTTGTTAAAGCTTTACTTTACTTGCCATAAGTGACTGGAGTAAACAGACAGGTCTGCACTATATGAGAAGTTGGACTGGATGATAGAAGGGCTTTTTTGGCCTTAGACTTTGGGATCTGTGGGCAACAGCTAGTGGCACCCCAGTGGTGGCAAGGATGCTTTGGGGACCTGGTGTGCCATAAAGAAGACTTTGTTCTCATTGTCCCAGCCAGCGAGCACAGCTCAAACCACTTACCTTCTTCTCTGTACTCCACAGTGTAGCCTGAAATGGTGCAATTGCCTGTACTGGATGGGGGCAGCCAGCGCAGGATCACAGAGGTGCAGCTTCTCTCCTGAGCAATGGGGCGATTTGGGGCAGCTGGGACACCTTGGGAAGAGAAAACAATCACCAAGTCCAGCATCACATCGACAAGTGATGTGATTCTGAAGATCAGGTGTACCGGGTACATCAGGTCGCTACGAGGCAGCTGCCCCTTGCAGAGGGAACACTCTGGTTTGCACTGGGTTACCAGCACAACCAAGGGAAGGCCAATGCCATGGGTCCTGTTCACCTACCACCGTGGGTCTGAGGCCTCCATACTAGCAGCAAGGAGAGAACCGTGCTGCTTGCAAGCCCTGCTGCCTTGACATGGTCTCACAGTACTACAGAGCAGGGGGAATATCTTCTTGCTCACAGCTGGTGGTCAACTGGACTGTGATGCTCCTTGAGTGCAGAGGGTCTGCCTGAGCTCAGCTGCTGTAAAGGCAGAGCCTCTTTACCTCCTACCTTCTGCTGCTAATTTTTGCTCTGCTTAAGACCCGATGCAAAGCCTACGGAAGTGAGGAAAACAAATACTCTCGTAGACTTCACCAAGCAGCAAGTGAGGTGGGGAGTCACCTTGAAGTGTCCAAAAGTGACACAAGCAAGCCACTCAGAGTGCTTCTGGGTGTAGGGTGCCAGATTGTGTGTTTGGCATTAGATTGACAAATGTAATGACCAGTAATTCTTGTGTGTTTCGCTCAGGGCTCCCGTCAGCACTTGATTGGTTAGTGGAGCCACTAACTTGCTTGGATAAATTGGGAAAATTATATCTCTAGGACAAGTTGTGAGACCAAACAAATTGACTTCTAAATGCTTGTAACAATCCTGCATCTGTAAGTCACCAGTTAGACATTCATCTCTGTGCCATCCCCTTCAATGCAGCAGGCATCCCTCATCTCTCATGCTAATAGATCCCTTTCTGGAACTGGAGGTCATGAGCATCAACTCATCATTTCATATTCATTACAATTAGATGGGTCACTAATTACAGCGCTGAGAATTCAGGCTCGGAGACATGTCCCTGAGTTGAGTCCCTGCAGAACACTTCAACCAGGGCAAACCTTACTCTTACTTCCTCCGTCCCCCACAGAGACAGGGAGGCTGAAAATTGGTGTCACTGGATCCCAGGTCCCCCCAGCTCCAGGCATAATGTAAAGCTCAGAGCTCCCTGCAGGCAGCTGGGGCATCTTTCCCCCCGAGGGCTTGGCTGCCCGAGGGAGCTCAGCTTCCCCCGGCCGACCTTACCGAGCCCCCGGGAAGCAGCGCCGCGAGCAGGATACAGGAGCTGAACCGGTGCCAAGGCATTTTCATTTCCCAGATGTGATGCTTATGATCAGACGACTTAATCAAGCGCAAAGAGCCTGTGATGCCTTCAGCCATCAGTGGGAGTCTTGGCTGAGGAACGGCTGTATGATTTTTGCATCTCGATTGACCTGGCACGGCTCCACGTCTGGCTGCCTTCGCACCGGCAATTCCTGTGAGCTCCCAGCCCCCACCAAGGGACCCCGTACGGTGTTAAGGTCAGATGTGCTACCTTGAACTTTGATGGTTGCAGAGGTTGACGCCGTTCCGTGTTCATTGGTTGCCACGCAGGTGTAAATGCCGCTGTCCTGAGGCATCAGGTTGCAGATCTTCAAGGTGAGCTCTCCAGAGTCACTGTGGATGCAGGAAGCCCTGATTATAAAACATTGCTTCACTCGCTAACGCTTTTTATCCTGGTTCCTGTCCTGCCTCATTACAGATGCATGTGCACACAAATCCTGTGAACTCATTTGAAGGAACGTCCCCCCAGCAATCTGGTACCCAAGGACCACCCCTCCATGTGTCAGGATTAGGCCATTAATGAAAACTTCCAGCAGAATGGTCCAAATTGCCTGCCAGGCAAGTCTACTTGTCTGCTGTGGCCTTGGAGAAGAAGGGGAAGGATCACTCAAGCAGCAAGCAAAGTCCAAGAACTGAACATTTGCTGTGCCTGTCCAGAGCTGGATGGTTAGACCCCATATATCTGGAAAGATTTCCCCAGGCTCATCTCTTGTGTCTCAGAAGACGCTGAGCTGCTGTGCCTCTGCAGTTAAGTCCAACACATGCTGGACATCTTGGGTTTCCCATAGATGCATAAGGCAATCACACAGCACAGGGTGCCTGACATTTCTGGGAAGTTTCAGACCCCTGGAGCATGTGCCATTGATCTAATGAGGCTGCCAGATCCCTGGTCAAAAGGCTGGATATCTCACAACAGCTAGAGATAAAGAACACCAGCACCAAGTTCATGAGAGACAATCTTTGGGCCAATCTGAGCAAATAAACAGCTCTCTGGAGTCTAGTGAATTTATAGCAAGACTGTAGATGCAAACTTGCGTTTGCGCATTGTAGTCTTCAATATGCAACTTAAGGGAGTTGGCCTGATTTAAAGGATTTTGCTTGTGTAACTGCTTTAACTGTACTGGAGACCCAGCTTAGAGCCAACAATAAATTCCCTTGATGGCAAAACCAGACTAGTTCTTGAATGCATAATCTATCGGAAGCTGCAGAAGGACACGGTTGCTGGTTTATCTGCCCCGACGCTGCGGCTTTTGCTGGTCTGACTATGCTGATTTAAAATAAGACAGAAACATCCCCTTCCCCCACAGTCCAGACACTCATGCTAGCAAGACTTGTAAGACAGCCCCTGATCTGCTGGGCCTCTCCTTGGCAGGCAGTGTCTTCACTGACAAACAAATGCGCGTAACAAGACAATACGAGCGCTGATGGTGCACAGAGAGCCAATGCACAGGCAAATGTGATAGAAAACAGAACCCTGTACGGAAATATCCCCCCATCCCAACCCAGCCAGAAGCCTGAAGATAAGGCACTAGCAATCTACTGAGTAATGGCTAAAAAGACATTTTTGGGTGCTGTGGGGCAGATGCTCAAGGCAATGGTCTCTGAAGGAAGCTGTTGATCAGCTGTAACTTTTTTTTTTTTTAATTGAACATATAAAATCCCTTCTCTCCTAGTGTTCATTTTTCACTTCCAGTGACTTTGTACTGCCTGGATTCATCTCAGCCTGAGTCAGAAGTGCTGAAAAGCTTACATGAAAGATTGCCTCTTGGAGATTTCCACTGCAGTTTGGCCCAAATCGCTTATATAAGCTGCGGATGAGCATCCAAGCAGGCTGTTACCTGACCTGAATTCAACTCCAGATCCTTTTGGACCCTCCCAGTGCTTGTAAAGATGGTTTTCCTCCCCCCTGCTAGCCAGGCTGGGAACATCATGACAAACATCTTTCTGTCCAAGCACAGCCAGATGTAGCCTTCCCAGGAGCACATGTAGGTTTTTTTAGGAATAACTGAGGAAAGGCTCAGCAAAACTGTGGGACTTGCCACCTCTGCCCATGAAATAAGAAAACACCCAATGAGATGTGGACATTGCAAGCTGGTGTGGGTTTGCTCTGGCCAACTCCTGTTCCTCCCAAAGGTGAGAATGTCATCAAACTCAGGCAGAGAAGCCCCAGCCAAACCAATATGTTGGAAACATTAGTTGCTTCTGGCTTGCTGCTGGCTCAGGAAGTCAACTGGAGCAAACTCACTTCTACCAGTGATAAACTGTGATATACCCAATGTCAGCTTGGGAAACTATAAAACTATTTGAGCCTCAAAGTTTGACCCTTTCTAGCTGACATGTGGAGCAGTGATGTGCCAATACACCATGCCAGTCTCAATTAACTGCATTTCTGATTAGCATTCTAGCCTGGCTGGTGCCATATTTGAGGACAACATGACCATTCATGCCCAGCTATGCTGGGATCCAAAGGCAGGACCTTACCAGGATGACACCGTGTAAGTGGCCGTGCTGTTGTCATTGTCAAGAATGTTTTGATCTGGTCCTTTCCAGGTTATAGTTGGCTTGGGCCGTCCACAGACTTTGCACTGCAGCATCACTGTGTCACCAAGCAGGCAGGTGATGTCCACTAACGGCACAAGAAACTCTGGAGCCACTGGAAGAAAACATGGGGACACACACATGATGCCTTCTTTTAATCTACAGGCGAGGATGTTTCCCCATACGAGACTAGAGGATACAATACAGGACCAACTATGGATCTGGGTCCCAAACAGCTGAGGGTCCTGGGATTATGTTACCAATAGTCCCCCTTTATTAGAAGCCAGCAGCTGACAGCTCAGCAAAGGAGTTAGCGGAGACTGTCCATCCCCCCAGGTCTGTGCTCTGGCAGGAGGGTGGGACTTTGCAAAGGCAGATTTGGGGGGTTCAGCCTCGCCTGTGGTCCCCGGGCTGTGTGAGCCGAGCTGCCAGCGGAAACACTGCCTTCCCTGGTGGCCGAGCAGCAGAGGGCTGCCTTTGCTGTAACTGCTGGTGGGTGCAGAGCTGTTGCACAGCAATAAATCACAGCTGCTGACTTGCCCCTCTGTGCCAGTCACTGCACAGCCGTCCTTAACTCACCTTCTTGAATGAAATTGGGGTTGATTATCTGAAAGATACAAAGAAACAAAAGCATTTATTTTTATGGACAGTGACAAAGAGACAAGCTGGTTTCACAAGGTGGTGAAACCTGACGAGAACCGCAGAAGTACCGACCAGTGGCTACAAGCAACCCAACAGCTGGTAGACACAGCAAGCTCCAGTGACAACTGAACAAGCCCGTGGACAGCTAGGAAAGCAAATGAAAGCTCCAGCTTCTTGAACTCTGATAAAGCATGGCAGGGAACAGGCACAACACTGAGGCTGAGGAGGGTGGGCATGCTTTCTCTTTGCTTGGGTGACAATGCTCAAGCATTAACTCTTCTTCCCGGAGGTGGTTTGTGTCCCCTGTGCCCAGCTCCAGACCTACATCACACAGTCCCTGCAGTCACCACGCACCTGGGGCATCTCACCAGCACTCTGGCCACTAACCAGCTTGGGGGCTCAGCGGGGATGTCTTTTAACTTCTGCTCAGCTTCAGGGAAAAAAGGTAAAACACTAAAACAAAAAAGCTGCATTCTGGCTATTGACATTCACCTATTGACAAGTATCAGTCCTGAAACAACTCTTGGTCTATCACCATGAGTAAAATTTCACTCATTTCATTGGACTGCTGGAAACTTCCCAACTTGAAACTAGGTTTGGATAAGTGAGAGTTATTTTAGCTAACTAGTTAATTGATCATTAGCAAAGACTTGAAAAGTTACTGTCTCTCCCTGGGCTATATAGGCCAATTACCTCATGTAACCCTGGAAGCAAAGTTGGGAATGGCAAAGATGCCAATAATTTCTCACATGTGGCATCACCCCTAACTACAGAGTGGTGTACAATAGCATGGAGATTTTAGCCTCATTAACTGCTTTAATAATCTCAGAATGCCTTGCTATTCAAATTCAAACTAAAAATTTGATATCGAGCACCATAAACACCAGTGTGGTTTATCTCTCCTTACATATCTTTGTTACCATCTATTTCAGAGCTATTTTGGAAGATGCCAATGGAGCAGTGACCTAATTCTTGGTCTGCCAAAGCTGATTGGAGTTTTTGCATTGGCTCAGAAACCAGGCCATGAAGCAGAAGCAATAACCCCTCAAAATAACATAGATACATCTTCAAGATTTATATTTACATTTTGGCTTTATAAATAGTTTTCCAAGGTGAATAGCTCAGGTTGCCATTCAAGGAGGCACTCAAGCATATTCAGGTTCATTTTAGTTTCCCAGCCCTTCTTCATAGCCCCAGGCGAACATCTGGTACCAGCACTGAGACCTCAGGGTCTGCTTTCCTCTGGCACCACCAGAAAGTTCAAATGAACCAGGCAGAACGTGGTCTTGCCACTTGCAAAGGTTCATTTTTTTTTTTCCAAACATTTCATTCTCAGCATTGTGGAAGGAGCCAACCTCTGCCTACATCCCGGAGAGGAAACTTTGAACACTATTACTATATCTAGGGCTTTGTCTTTTTTTTTTAAAATCCATGTTGGGAAGCAGCTCTGTGGTGGGGAAGGGGGAGAAGATCGTGCCACCCCTGCAATGGAATGGCTCGGCTCAGCAGGCAACAGCCTGAGTGGGTGAGGGAGCCAGCCAGCCTTCCTCCTTCTAGCTGCACCTCCTGGCCCCGGTTTTGCTTGGGAAGCACAAAGTCCCCTCTGAAAGGTGCAGCTGGGCACCAACACCAGGACACGGACCTCTGGCCTGCCACTCCAGGAGCTCCAAGAGGGTGAGGGGCTCAGAGGCAGCGATGTCTGCTCTGCAGAGTGCAGGACCCAGACCACGCACACCCCATGGATCCTGTGGGATGAAATCAGGGCACAAGAGGGCACTGGATGAAGAAAAACATCTCTCCCACCTGTGCATGTGGAAAAGGAGAGATGGATCTTCGAGATGGAGCTGTATCACTCACACAACACAGCAATGGAAGAACAAATGGATAACCATTGCTTGCTACTTTCCCCTCAGTGAGACCATCCACTTACCAGCTGAGTAACCCCAGGCATCAGCTCATCTGCACATACATCTTCATTTTTGTAGCTTTTGGCATAAGTGGAATTCACATCTATCTTCCCAAGCTCTCCCCTTCCTTCCCTGCAGCATGCACTAAATCCCTTATTATTCACTGATTTCCATCCTTGCAGGATTAGACATCAGGAGAAAGAAACGCTCTTAACACTTTATATTAATTTTATAACTCCAAAGGATTCATTAGAAGATGCATCTACAATGATGAACGTAATGGATCTATCTATAAATAAATAATGCTACATTTCTAATGACTTCCAAGGCACAATCATTTATAATAATTGCCTTACCAATGTTTTTTTCCCTTGCCTCACCAGGGGAATATCAGAAAGAAAATTACCGCTGCTAGGTAATATTGCAAGTGTCTACGAGTAAAATTTACATTTCCTTGGCTAAAACTTCATCTGTTAATTAATAAAATGTTACCTAACAACACCCCCACAGCCACATCACAGCTCGTGCCTGCTGTAAGCTTAGACAAAAATAAAAGCCTGCTTGCAAGAGAATGCTTAAGTGCTACCAAAATGATTTAATAGATGACTTTTAATTAGGGAAGGGGATTTGGTCTGTTTTGAAGGAGGTGGGGGTCAAATGATGGGGTGAGAAGGGTAGGAATAGGAAAGCAAAGGTTCAGGGCCAGATCTATGGCCAGAAGGCAGCTCGGCTGGCTCAGGGATCCGCTCCCAGGCCCCAGGGTTTGCTGCCTCTCTCTGCAGGCCAGCTGGGTTCCTGGGCTATGGGTGGATGGCAGGAGACAACAGACCCCACAGAGTCCTTCTAGATCGAGCACAAGACCTTTGGAGATGATTTCTTCATTTGCCAAATAGGCTTTTAATCCCCGTGGGGGGAGAGGAGGGCTCCAGAGCATGGCCCCGCTGCCCTTGGAGGACAAGAGAGCACATTCTGCTTGTCAGCACAGTCTTCTTCTGGGGCTGGTTTCCCTTGTGGATGGACTCGCCAAGCACCTCCCAGAGCCTCTTAAAAATAATGGTGTGTGCAAAAAGCTGGAAAAGCTGTCAAAATCCACGCAAGTAACTCTTCCCTCTTCTCTTTCCAGGGCTTCTTCAGGGAGATGAAAGCTAAGCTGCATTGCTCTGTAGAGCAGAAACCCCTGCCAGCGAGGGGCCCGGGGCAGGCTGCTGGTGAGCAAGGTGAGGTGCTGTGTGCCGAAATGGGGATTATGGGCAGGGGAGGTGAAAGATCACCCTTTCCAGCTTGTTTTCCCTATTTTTAAAGCCCTTGCTCACCCTAGGGAGCTCCCACACAACCTGAAGGGCAGCGGTGGTGTTTGTGGGGGTGATGATGCAGGACCCCCGGCTTCTGTGCATCACTTCCTCAGGGAACGCTCTGTACTGCTTTGAGATTACCAGGTGGAAAAAAAGGCACAGCTGGTTGGGTGGCTTTTGTGGAGTTTTACTTTTCTTCTCTCTGAAAAGCAATGTGAGGCTCAGCCCTGAAACCCCACTAACTCCGCAGCGGTTTGAAGAAGGATGTGATCAACACCTATAAATACTTAGAGGGTGGGTGTCAAGAGAATGGGGCCAGCCTTTTTTCAGTGGTGCGCAGTGACAGGACAAGGGGTAAGGGGCACAAACTTGAACATAGGAAGTTCCATCTAAACATGAGGAGGAACTTTGTTACTTTGAGGGTGGCAGAGCACTGGAATAGGCCACCCAGAGGAGTGGTAGAGTGTCTGTCTCTGGCGACATTCAAAACCCACCTGGATGCCATCCTGTGCAACCTGCTCTAGGTGGACCTGTTCTGGCAGGGGGGTTGGACTAGATGATCTCCAGAGGTCCCTTCCAACCCCTGTCATTCTGTGATTCTGTAATGCATTCAGTCCTCAGGTAAGAGACACAACTGGCTCTTCCTTCTAGGAATATAAATTTAGTTGAAATGAGATAGATATTTTTTTTTTGCCACTGGATGAAATACCTGTAGCCTGGTCCAGGGTGGGTGAAAACTCATAACGCTACCTCCATGGCCAGGAGAGTTTCTGTTGCTGATACAATGACAGCTAAAAATGGGAACCCCGCACCAGGTGACAAAGGCAGCCCATGAAACGGCCTCTGCTTGAGTGATGTGGGGTCTAAGGCTGGCAGGGAGCCGGAGGGAGGAGGATGAGATAAAGATAAAGAAATGAGAGGACAGGTCAGGGTTATTCAATAAAAAAGACAGAAATAGACCTTGCTTCTCCCTTCTCCAGCCTCTGCTATTTCAGGGATCAAACCCAGGCAGACACACAAGGCACGTACTTGAACGCTTTTGGGGACCTGCAGGGATCCAAGTGATCCAGATGTAAGGGACTTAGTGTAACAGCCAGGCTTTAGAAAAGCAGCATAAATGCTGCATCCAGCAACTCATTATTTTGCAGTACATTTTGGGCCGCATTTCTCCTGGTTTGTTAAGCTCGTGTTACAAAGACAGAAAGGCATCTGCAGCAGTAGCACTTTAAGCTCGTGTTACAAAGATAGAAAGGCAAAGACAGAAAGGCATCTGCAGCAGTAGCAGCAAAGTCCACCTGCAAAGTGACTCCGACCGCCCTAATTCTTAGCAAGAGCTTCTCTTCCATTTGCACACACGCTGTGCCTGCCGGGGAGAGGGAAACTGTCCTGCAGAGCCAACGGCCAGCCCCGAGATGCTCTGCATGCCTTCTGGCTCTCGCCTTGGCCAGGGTTTCCCTCTCCATCACCATGTCCCAACTCACTTCCCTGGAGGAGGCCTGAGCCCAGCCCAGCCACACGCGATGCACACAAGGGCCCAGTGGACACCCAGATTTTTCCAATGCCACATTTCAGTCCCATTTTAAGGGAGTTCATCAAAAACAGGAGTGAGAATATTTTTTCCCTCTGGAAGCACAGGGCTAGGCTGCAAACCCAGCCCTCTGTAACAGGACCCACACTTTATCTAAACAGCAGAGGGCATGTTTACTCCAACACAAGCAGCTCAGCATTTTGTAAACACTCCATCTCGCCTGTTGATCACCCAGTTA